TTTTTTTCATTGTGAGTATATGTATGTGTGTCCATCTATATATACATATGTAAAACATAAAAACACAGGATATTTATATGTACATATACACACTTTATATGCATATATATATGTATATGTGCATATGTTTCCACGCACACACATTAATATCTCCTCTGTTTTATTCGGCTAATATTGTAACCAAAAAATTTTTCGAGCTATTACAACCTCACATGGAACCCTGCTCTATCTTATGACTATTCAGTTCATTCTATGCATTTTCTTTCTTCATTGTAATAAAAAGAATTAAAAAAAGAAACCAGAAAGTTGCTGATTTTCTGGATTGAGTGTGAATTACACTGAATACCTTAGGCATTTTTCAATGGAATGTTTTGTAAAACAGAAAACAGGAAAGTCACTCCTCCGTTCATGTCCCATGAATAATTTAAAACTCCAAGTAATAATCATTGGCACATTCACAAACTTTTCTTGAAGCCTACATTTCAAAAACAGAGCAACTGAAAGGAATGTTCCCCTTTACATTGTTCTTCATTAAAGGGGATAATTGAAAATCCGATGCTCAGTTTTTGTTTGAAATGCTATTCAGTACACCTTGGTTTTATTTTATTCTGGACGAGCCGCTGAAAGGGATTGCTGTTGATACACGTTGAACTTCAAAAATGATGTCACTAGGGTTTGTTTCATTAGAGGGTCTTTGAGTCCTTTAGCTTCGTGCTCCATGAATCCAGTTGCAGGAAATAACTGCCAGGAGCGTGGGGGATGTAAATACGGCCTTAGCAACGCTCAAACAGGTTAACAACAAAAATGTGTAGGACATCAAGAGGGTTCTAAGCTATGGTGATTTCTTTTAGCTTTGTTCAGTTTCTGGGGTGTATTTTTGGCTATGCTGATTGAAGTACAAATGTACTTTCTTATGACAGAAGCTTATGGTAGATAGAATGAATTACTGGCCTTGAGATACAAGTTATTTAAAAAGAAAAAAACCTAGCTGGGCATGGATATTTATTTTATTAAACTTGGGAACACATATTTATTAAGCCTCCACTATGTCCCAGGCACTATTGTATGTGCCAGAGATACAGAGGTTAAAAAAAAAAAAAAAAAAAAGATCACCTGACCTAAAACGTTTGCGTTCTAAATGGGATGGACAGGAGATAAGGAAACAGATCGATACATGACAGAATTTCAGGTAGCGCTTATGCTATGATAATCTTAAGGACAGGTGTCACACTGAGGTATGACTTCCTGCTTCTCAGTCTCCATTGCACAGTTAAGGCACTAGCAAGTCTTCTGAAGTGCAGACTCTGACTGAGTAGGTCTTAGGTGGCATCTAGAAGTCTGCATTTACAGTCAGCCATTGGCCCAGGGACTATGCCCTGCAGCGCGCGGTACTGTACCATTTCTGTGTAGCACGTTGGCCTAAGGCGTTGGTAGGAAAAGGTGAAATAAAAGAAGAGTGAGTGGTAGAGGTTGGATAACTAGAAGGGGAGGAAAGAGGAATTTTGGGTGAAGATTTACGTTTTTAATGGGAATCACTGTCAGTTAATAGTTGTTGCTCTTCTGATCAAAATCCCTCCATGCCGGAGCTCTATGCTTATCCATTTAACCCTTAGGAAAAGTGCTGGAGTCGGCTCTGAGCTTATCATTTTCCCTTCCTCTGTGTTCCAGAAGGTGGGGATGTACAACAGGTTTCGCTCCGCTCTTATCCAATCCCAGTACCAGCGTGTATTGTTTTAAAAAAAATACACCTATTTTTAGGAGCTTTATTCCTAAGGAAAAAGCAAAACTGCCTTTTGCTCAATAAAAATAGCAGCTGGGAAAGTCCCAAGTATCTTAGTCGTTCCAAATGAGATTTTAACTTATTACCTTTATCTTTCTCTGGGACTTAACTTTTGCTTTTTGAATTTTGAGTCTGTAGTTTTTTGGTTTTAGAAACTAATTCATTTTGGAAAACTAACCTAATATTTGGAGTTGTCTTTTCCGAAGATGTTTTGGGTTCTGTTTTTCTTTTTGCTCTGGTGTCTCTGTTCATTCCAGATGAACTTCTGTTTTTCAAGAATTCCTCAAAATGTATTCCTATGTATTTGTATCATTTTCCCAGTGTTGTAATACATATGTCTATTTTTAAAAATAGTCTTTTCCATTATTTCATTTAGATGTTGTAGAGAACACTGATGTGTTCTCAGCCTGCAATTTTGACCAATTCATTTCTTTAAACAAAATGTACATGCACAGTTTAATCTGTAAAATAAGTACATTTGCAATGGAAAAGAAAGAACATGTTATATATACTATATTATCAGATATTTTTAATATTATCTATATAATAAATTTGCTCATAACCCACAGTCAGAAGTAACCACTCTTGATCGTTTGTATATCTGTGTAGGTAGATAATCTTAGATAATCTATTCTTAGTAATTCAAGAATATGTCTTTAATTCCTACCACATAGTTTTGTACATGTATACTTTTTATTTTAATAAAATAGGAATCTATTAAGTCGATACTCTGGCAACTTGATTTTTTTTTTACAGGTATGTCATAAACCTGTTCCTTGTTTTTAAATATTCTTTGATAAAATTTTTGTTAGCCATAACATCTTATATCACAAAGCATATTTTTATCTCACCCCTTATTGCTTAGATTGCTCCCAATGTGCAGTAGTATAAATAGTGCCTCAGTGAACACTCAGAGACATAAATCTTCCTGTACATCTGTAATAATGTTCCCAGAGTAAACATAATAGCTTCACCTGATATCAGTGAAGAATGAGCAGAAAGTCCCAAATACCGACCCAGTAGAACAATGTACTCCTCCTTTTCTTAAAGTATATTAAATAAAATCAGTTTCCTAATTCTTTTATCAATTCACAGAATGATTGAGCCGGTTTTATATAAGCTGTGACTATTTTGATTTGGGTATATATGTGTGTGTATGCACATGTGAGCGAGAGAGAGAGAACGAGGATTCCTAACGAAAGTGTTTCAAGTTGCGAGAGAAATAAAAGCTGTTTTTCATTTCAAATGAGACTAATATGGGAAGAAATCGGGAAATCTCAGGTGCTTTTCTGCATGAATTTTGCAAATTTCATAAGACAGAAACAAAATAAAACATAGAACTTTTCCTTCTTAGATATAGCAGGGGGACAGTACCTCTCAAGAGGGAATCTCTTTTGTGGCTTTGTTGCTTTTCTGATAAAATTACTTATATGAAACTGGGACTTCACTTTTTTGGAACATGGGATTTCACTTTTTTAGGTACAATGAGACCAAAATTCTAGCTACTTCCAGTTCTTCTGTCTTCAAGCCTTCTTTCCTTTTATTCTGTCAAAGCCCTTTAGCCAAAAACCACCAGGAACATACCTGCACTTGAACCATTTGGATTTCTTAGTTGTTGCAATAAAGCAAAGGCACTCCATGGAGAATATGGAGTATCTTCATAAAAGTGTATTGAGAAAGGCTTCAGGGATTTAGGCTTCTTTTATATTTATTTATTTATTTATTTATTTATTTATTTTAGGCTTCTTTTAAATGAGTTGAAAGAAGATTCAAAGAAGCAGGGCTTTGCTATAATTTTCTTGCTATCAGAAAGCAAGGGTAATTTTATAATTTCATTTATTAATGGTATTTTAATGACCCTACTTAGAAGTAGGGCGCACAACCGTTTCAGTTTGCTTGAGACTGAGGTGGTTCCTGGGACATGGCATTTTTAGTTAGGTTAGTGCCCAACCCCAGAAAATCCCAGGCCCGGCAGGAGGAGTGGATCACCCACCTCTGGGACAGGAGAAATGAAAAGAGACTGAAGCTGAAGTTGGTAGAGAAGCAATAGGCGTTCTTACTAGCCAGGATTTGGGGATTTGGGCCATTTTTGCAGTTTGGGCAATGTTCATGTTTTTTTGCCTGTTTTCCAGTGTGATTATAGATCAGTCTTGTCTCTTTCTTAATCCATGTGGTGACAGAATGGCCTTGTCTGATTCTGCTGTTCTGTGAAGGGTCTACCTGTGAGGGCCAGGGTGGCTGGCTCCTGCCAACTCCAAGACCTCATGGCATTGGGCCAGTTTCATTCTGCCAAAGTCTGCTTTTCTTTCTCCCAGTTTCCTTCTTTGGAGATTTAAGGCGTGCTTTTGAGTGGGCCTAAGAGTTTACAGATGTGACCTTCTTGTCTTAACGTTAGCCATATTGGTTCTGTGCCCTAATGAAACACTTTGGGTATTGCGGCTTTGAATCATTGAATAATAAAAAAAAAAAAAATTCATCTCTCTTAACACATTTTTTTTTCCCACAGAGAACAGTGTTTTAATGATTGGGCCCAAATGCTAATTACTAACTGTTAAAATTTTTAAAAAATCAAATACGTTAGCCCTTCTTTGAGGTTCAAGATTCACATTAGCGTATTTCAATGGTTTTAATAATGCTACCACAAGGAAACCCAACTTATTTGATATAAAACATTTATTTTTATAGAACACATTAACATTTTGATGAACACTATTATTTCACTGTTAAACTGATATTTTATAGAAGTGCCGGTTTCATTAGTAATTGTCCCATAATTACGCTTTTTGTTTTTAGAAATTAGAAATAATGTAAAGCGTAAATAATGGTTCTGATTTACATTGTTCTTATTTAAAATAAAGGAAGTTTTCTTTATAACTGTCATGTAAAAGAAATGGTTTTACATATTTACTATTTTAATTTTGAAAGAAAATACAAAATGTGATGGATCTTTTTTTGAAAACATTTAGTAGATGCATATATTATTGTATAGTTGATTTAGTTTAGTCTTAAAGATCATAATACTAGTTAAATGGTGAAACATTATTTTAATTATTAATACTGGGTCAGTTATTTCAGGTATCTTAAACTCAGATTGGTTGTTCCATATGTTAATTAAATCAATTATTCAAGAATTTTTCTTTATAGTAATGGAGAAAATAATACAGCTTTAGTCATCATAATCTTTAGTTATTATAATCTGCATTCATAAAATTTTCTCTAGGTTCTGAAGACTACCTTGAAGTTGACATTCCCTCAAATGTAAGAGTCAAACACTCAAGGGAAATAAATGAGAGAAGGGAAATTGAAGAAGTACCAGAAGCTGCAGGAAGCACCATCCCACTGGCAGTCGTGGTTCCTGCTGAAATTCCATGTGAGGTCAGGAAAGATACCTTTTATTTAAGTGGCCCCATTGTTTTAATAAATATTGCATTTCATAAGAACATAAACTCCAACCCAGCTGGCGTTTTTGTCTACTTTGTTCGTGACTGTGCCCCCAGAACATAGACCAGTGTCTGGCAATTAGCAGGTGTTTGATACGTAGTTGCTGAATACATAATTAAATATTGAAGAATTTACAAATGCCTAATTGTATCAACTCGTACTTCAAGTTTGCAAATACACAATTGCGTAGGCGCTCTCTCTCTCTCTCTCTCTCTATATATATATATATATATGTGCACATATATATATCTCAGCTGCAGTATAACCTCTGTAAGTTGATCACCCAGGGGACTGTAACACATTGGTCGACAAACAGAAGTGGTCAACATAAGGAACTTGGCCTTCTACACTGATATATACATGTGGTGCATGTCTCGTCTATGAAAATTAGGCTAACATGTGGAGATGGTCAACAAAGAGGGCTAGTCAGCTATGGAAGTTCTATTGTAACTAAAAGAAAGTTAGATTCATATTATACAGATCAAGGATTTATTTTCATAAAGGGAAACATGCCTTTGAATAGAATTTTAAAATATTTACTTTTCAGGACACCAATTTTTCAAATTATAGAATATACATTAAAAGCTGACTTTAAGTGGAAATATTTTAAAAGCTGGAAGAGCTGGTCTTTCAGGGAATAAAGTATAATGTGGAGAAAGGACTACATAAATACATATTTCTGACATTCTTCTTCCTTAGTTTTCCTTGGGATGAAGCAGTAAAATAAGCTACCCAAATCTCTGGCTATGCAATCTTGGGACAATGATAAGATGCTGGGCCTCCATGTCTATAGTGTCCCCGAGTGGAAAAAGCCAAAGATACAGGAGAACCTTATCAGAGTTGCATGAAAGGGTCCTCCTGGTAGAAGCCAGTGAATTTACCCAGCCGGGAGACGAGCGTACACTGACCATTTTGCAGGGGAGTGGGTGTCCCCTGATCCTCCTCGTACCAGCAGTCCCGAGGGTAACTGAACCTCCTGTTTCTGTGGGTGAAATTTAATTTCCTTACCCTCTCTTCCCACCTCCCCCACCCTCACCTTGCCTGAGCAGAAGAATCACAATTTCAAGCTATTTTGCTGTCAGTTCCATAGTAACAAAACTGTTTTGACTAGAGACCCCAGGAACCTAAACTATCCAGGTTGGAGGGAACTGACAGAGATGATCAGGCAAAGAAAAATTATATGATTCATTTAAAGGACTAAGGAACTTAAGAGAGGGAGATCAAGCTAAATGCTAAGAACTAGTGGCTCCTACTGAATCAGAAAATAAGGCAAGAGACAGAAAAGGACTGCAATGAAAGAGAAATGGCTGTCACTCTCAAGTAGGTGAAATCAAAGAAGGAAAAAACCTCTGAAACTAAAAATAGCACACTGGGAGTTATGCAGTGAGTCTACATAGCTACTTTTAAAAATATCTCCAACAGTAAAATTTAAGCCCTATAAAATCCTCTTGTTACTAAATTTGGAAAGAAATCAAAGTCAAAAATCTAATCTCACCGCTGTCTAGGGAAGATACCTTGTGCAGATGACCAGTGAGGATAGGGGTTCTTTCCTAATAGAATAGCAGAGTTATGCATTCTTTTTATTGACATTGACATAATTCTTTGAATTCTTCTGAAATTAAATTGTTTAAATATCAAATCTTTTTGAATATTCCACATTTTAAAGAATCCTAAAAGTTGAAAAGTTCCACAGGATTATTTTAACACCAGCTCCACACTCTAAAAAATTCAACATAAGCTAATCCTTGGACCCAAAATAGTTCTCCCATGCAAAATCTTGAGTTCTCAGAACCTGTACTATCTAAATCCATATGACTGTTGCCAAGCACCACAGAAAAGACCATTTGTATCCAACTGTTTGAAAATTATATTTCAGATTTTCCATGATAATGTTTAGTGTGTGCCAACTGTCTGAAAGCACAACCTTTGAACTTAAACTCAATTCTGAAAAGTTTGCCTTTTAAAACTCCTGCCTTTTGCTTTAGGAAATGATCCTTGAGGTTTCCCTGCCATCCTCCAAAATCTAAAAATTTTCCTCATCCCTGATGATGACCAGGTCTTATTTGACATGGGCCACCTTCACACCCAGCACTTCCAAACCCTGCTAATCTCCTCTTGTAATTTGTATTTCCAGTATGTAAATCCTGAGTTGACTATGAGTTCTATGTAGTGGCATAAGTTTCATTTTCTCTGATGTACAGGAAGTTGGTTTAAGTCCCTTCTGTGACTGCCTCTTGCTATGGATTGCCAGAGTACGTGTTCCCACCTCCAGGTCGGTGTCCCAGCCTCCAGGGTCCGTGTCCCCGCCCCCAGAGTCCCTGTACCCGCCTCCAGGGTTCATGTACCTGCATCCAGAGTTCCTGTACCTGGGTCCATGACCCCCACCTCCAGGGTCTGTGACCCAACTCCAGGGCCTGACTCCAGGATGCCCACCTCCAGGATCCGGGTACCACCCTCCAGGGTCTGTAACCCGCCTCCAGGGTCCGTGTCCCCGCCCCTGGGGTCTGAGTCCCAGCCTCTTCCCTCTGCCCTCACCTCTTCTGGAGAATCAGCTTTAGTCAATGCTTCATTGAGGCCGTGGGTGCTGCTGCTGTCTGTGACCCTCCAGCCTGGGAGTGTTGATCCCTTCACCTTGTCACCCTTCCCAGCACTGTTCCCTTTCACAGTTTTAGGATTTCCTAAATCTTGAAAATATTGTACCACTTTAAAAATGGCAGAAAAAAAATTTTTTTTTCTTTCAACTTATCCCCGTGCAGTAGTGAAGATACATCTCCACTAGCCTAGTCGCGTAAGTCATTCCTTCTCTTTGAGAACTATCTGGGTGATTTTTAACTGTTTAAGTTGGCTTCTTACTTTGGTCTCCCTTTTACATCTGCAGAATTGGCACACTTTGTTATGGTTTAGATTTTCTTTAAACATTTTTTGCTCATAGGCTAAGATTGTTATATGTTTAGCACCTTCCTCTGGAGTTGGTCTTGTGGAGCAGTCGATCCTGACAAGTAGGAAGTCACTGTGCTCGCGGTCTGCCAGAGGCGTCTTATCCGATTTTACTTCCCTGATAAAAAACGCACCCAGGCGGCGTTCTCCATTAGAGTAAACATCTCAACCAGAACCATACCCCGTCCATTATTTGGTAACTTCTCTTCTTTGCGACCTCCATTTTCCCAAAGTCCTAATTCAATAAATTTCTTTAGCAGATTCCCCCAGAACAGTGGTTCCCAACTGGGGGTAATTTTGCCACCCTCCCCTCAGGGGACATTTGACTAAGTCTGCAGACGATTTTGGTTGTTATAACTGGGAGGTTGCTCCTGGCACCTGGCGCTTGACCCTGGGATGCTGCAATACATGCGATAGTGCGCATGTCAGCTCCCACAATAACGGCTTGCCTGGGCTCCAAATGCAAATAGTGCCAAGGTTAACCTTATCTCAGAGTGTAGGAAATGTATAGTGCGCCATACAATAAATGAGTCACTCCAAACTTGCCTAATTATGGCCTCAAGAATTCAGTGCTCCCCAGCAGAGGTTTCTCTGCACTCTGCCCAGTTGTTCTGTAATCACTTTCTGGAACTTCCTACTCTTTAATGGGTGAGTCCATTCTCTCTCTCTCTCTCTCTCTCTCGCTCGCTCGCTCTTTTTTCTTTAACAGATTTTACCTGAAGTTTTATAAGGGATCCTCCAAATGTTTCCCCAAGACAGGGGTTGCTCTTAGGAGAACTTCAGTTTGCATGCCCTGAAGCCTAGCCTGGCCTGTTGTCATTTTTTTTTTTTTTCAGAGTATTATTGGGGTGCACATGTTTTGGTTCCATAGTTTGCCTTTGTATTTTAAGTCAAAGTTAGAACTGTGCCCTTCAGCCAGAAAGAGCACATTATACCCATTGGCTGTGAGTTTACCCATCCCCTCTCCCTCTCCCACCTACTTGAGTTTTCCTTCCATATGTTTACTTAAGTGTTGATCAAGCAGACTCAGTTTAGTATTGAGGACATGTGGTGTTTTCGGTTTTTTTTCCATTCTTGGGATACTACACTTAGGAGAATAGTCTCCAATTTCATCTAGGTTATTGCAAAAGACTCTAAGTCACCATCTTTTCATGGCTGAGTAGTACTCTGTGGTGTACATGTATCACATTTTATTAATCTATTAATGTATTGGTAGGCACTATTACACTTCTTTGCAATGTTAGCCCCAGTGACAGATTTAGCAACTACTTCCATATTTCTCTGGAATAGGGCCATCCTAACGAGAAATTAAGAGTGAGATCATTTCCTTTATCCTGTTTTTATCTGTGTAGGCAAGTCTTTAATATGTTACGTGTCCCTTCCTTTTGGCAGAATTTGCCTGCCGCAATCTCAGCTTCTGTGCCCCCCAAATCGCTCACTTTTTAAAGTATAATCAACCCATATGTCTTTATATTTGTTTTATTCTCTCACTGCCGTTGTCCTGATGACAACATAAAAACATTTTTATAACTGACTCAGTCACTTGCTGATTTCTTCAGAAAATTAAATTCTTATAGTTGTAATGTAACTGCCAAAGACTCTTTAAGTGGCTTTCCCAGAATTTGGATATATTAGTTTCATTGATATATTAATTTGGATATATTAGTATATTAGTTTCATTGATTTTTAAAAATCTGAATCCTAGAACATGACATCTTTAATAAAGGCCTTCATTTTTTTCTGAACTTTTCATTCACCTCTGAGGCTGAAACCATAATATGAATCTCCAAACTCATAGGACAGACTGGGGATTGTAAACCACCACACCTAGAGATATACCCTAAGATGATAAGGAAGGATTTGATTTTGAAGGGCCATAGGAGTCTGACACTACTTTACCAGTTCACCCCAGGCCCCAAACACAATTTATAACAACATGGAAAAATATAACACTACCTACTTAACTTCTGACACTGTACCACAAACTAGTTCTTAGTAAGCAACCTTAACTTAAAGACTGATCCTGCAACTTAAATTAATAATATGGTTAAAAAGGCAAAAGATGAATATATAAATTAACGCCTAAAATATCTAAATTGTGAAATGATATCCTCTTGGAGGTGAGGTTTTATAATGACCAAAGGATGTTTTTCTTTTTCATTTACCAAGTGGTTTTCAAACTGAGATGCACGTGGGGAAGGCTCAGGACCATTATTTTTAAAAAATGGGATCTGTGGGTTCAAGACCAGCCAGAGCAAGAGTGAGATCCTAACCCTAAAAAACTAGCTGGGCTTAGTGGCGGGCGCCTACAAAGCAGTAGTCCCAGCTACTTGGGAGGCTGAGGCAGGAGAATCGCTTGAGCCCAAAAGTTTGAGGTTGCTGTAAGCTATGACACCACGGTACTCCACTGAGGGCAACAAAATGAGACTCTGTCTCAAAAAAAAAAAAAATGCTATCTGTATCTTACCCCAGAAATTCAAGTATAAATGTCACATTGTAGGCAAAATTTCCATACTTTTGTTTAGGTGTCAAGGACTGTGACTATGCAGCAAAGCTGAGAGTTTGGAAGTGATCATTATTATGATCCTTTTTCTCCCTGAAGACTCAGAGTCAAATAAGGGATGCGTAGAAAAAGGGAGAGCCAAACAGCAGCCTCATAACTGGCAAAACTAAACTTATGACCATTGGAAATGCTGAATGCCATAACATTTTCTTCCTTAAATTCAGTTTACCATATAATCATGGAACAAGCTGCTAACGGCAGGGAGCAGGTGAAGCTTTGAATACTGGGGGAAATCAGAAATAAAACTGAGCTGGTTCAATTAAAAAATGTCATTTTTACAGACTTACTCCACATGAATTTAAAATATATATACACTGTTTATACATTAGCATAATACAGACATATAAGACATACCTTATGTTGTAATTCTTACAAGGTAACACAATAATATAGGAAAATAAGAGCACTATCAGGTTGTTTTATAATCTCGCTGCAAAGCCAAGACACAGATGTGAAAATCTAATCGAGAGAAAAGGGCATGATGCAACCATGGTCCAATGAGGGGTGTGGATGTGAAATGCTCTACTATTCCTTTGGAGGTGCTAAAACTCCTTGTGAGCTGAAGTGGCAGGGAGGATTCTGTGGAGCTGGTGAAATCTGCATCACACCTTGGTGGACAGGATAAGTGAGGGGAGACAGGGAGATCAGGAACCAAACAGCACGGCAACAGCACGTCCAAGCAGGACTGCTACCTAATTTGCAGTGCACAGTGAAAATGCAGGCGCCTTATTAAATAAATGCTCAGTCAATGCTTATTCCTTACTTTTCTCTGTATTAATTCCAGTCTTCTCACCTCTGGTATGATTTTTTTGCATTTTTTCCCAAAAAGAGTGTTTTTTTTCAATAACTCTTTTTACCTTATGTACCTAGATTTAGCTTTTTCATCTTAATAAGTCTTGACACTTTTAGTTTTATAACTTTCAGTCAACTAAAAAATTTTCACAGACACTCATTGTTAAGATTAACCAGGGACTTTCGATTATATAAAATATAAAACTGTTGTACATTAAAAAATCACTGTATTTAAATTATAACAGATCTTAAACCTGTTCAGACCTCTCATTTATAGATAAAGAAACTAAGTTCAAAAAAGGAGGGGGAAAAAGGATTTAGAAGGAGGTTTTATTTAACATTTAAATTCTAGTGCTCTGATGGTCTCTGAAAGGCACTAGAGACCCTTAGGCACTTACACCCTGGGATAGGGAGGGTGAGAATTAGAGGTGGGAGGGAGGGAAAGGGAGCAGCTGTATCCTCACTGTTTTTTTCAGTTACAAAATATAGTATGAGGGGAGAAAAGAGCGTTCAATGAACACTAAATTGATACATTTAAAATGTAGAAAGAATCACAATCACATATTTCCTTTCCGAATACATCTGAACACCATAGAAGGGTTCTTCAATAGTGGTGTGTGATCTTAATCATCAATAATGTAATGGGTTCTTGGGTTAATGTAAACTTTTTTAAGTGCTTAAATAGCTTACATTTTAATCTTATAGAATCCTGGCGAAATATTCATTATTTTGAGAGATGAGGTCATTGGTGATACCGTGGAGGTTGAATTTACATCAGATAACAAGCGAGTTAGAACACGGCCGGCCCTTTGGAGTAAGAATGTCTGGTGCACGAAAGCTTTAGGTAAGAACTTTTATGATTTAGTAGGTATAAAAAAAAGTCATTCTGAGTTCCTTCCAATAAATATATGATAAATGGTTTCGCTTCCCCACAGAAACTAATATTATTCTGCAGGTGTTTCCTGTGTTTAGTTTTCACACACCCAAGATTGTTATTATTAATCTGGATTTGCAAAAGTAAGAAGGTGTAAATTATGAGAAATTAGTTTGCATACCATGTAGCAAAGTGACATCCAGTAACATCATACATTTTAAAACATGTTGGCAGAGAACACTTTAATATATGCCAGCTATTAAATAATGGAACTAAATTATTTGCTTTATTATAACGTTAGGATTAGCAGACATTTGGATTTTTTATTAATGAACTTTATTTTTCCTTTCTTTATTCCCTAAGTCACTGGTATGTTTTAGTTGTTCTGGGAAGCATAATTTTTTTCATTATTTTATTCTTATGGTATAATTTCTACATATAATCTTTCCATCTTTTCCTTAATTCATTTATGAAGCTCATCGTTTCTTTTTCTAGCTTGGCTTGAGGCATGATAAATTATATCAGATTTAAAATGCCAGATGGAATAACCATACTTACCATAATAATTGCACTAAAATCAAAATCTAATATATTAATTTTGGTTCAATATAAATGTAGGATCACTTGGCTTTTACATTTTTGATATCTTTTTATTATCAGAGACTAAAACTACCTTATACAACTTTATAAATGGGAATTTCATGAAATAGTTTGAAATAAAAAAGATGTTCCATCTTACGAATTTGGAAATGTAGTAAAAGCATTTAGAATTAGAGAGATGTCAAACACATCCAGAGCTGCTTTTTTTCCCCTGTTAGAATACAGCTCATTTACAGAGCATTTCCAGGCCCTCATTTATCTTAAGCAAAGGTTGTGTCCCCTTCATAGATTTCCTTGCATAGCTTAGGTTGGAGATGGATTATAAGGAAAAAAGCCTCTACACTGAGAATTGATAAACATTTCAGGCACTGCTTTCTGTCTTGGACAAGCATATGCAAGAAGGGATGTGGGAGAAAGCAGTTTCTTTCCTTCACTTCCCTTCTGGTCTCTGTGCTCCCTACTTCCTAGTTCACATGCTTCATCAATTCCATGAACAATAATTTCCAACTAATTAGTTTCAGAGTTTAAACCAAATCTAGTTAGACGAAAGTTACTACAGAAAAAAATCAATACTGCAAATTAAAAAGTACTTAATATTTCCCAAATAGTAGATCAAGGCATCAAACATAATTATTCACATAACTTAAGTTTTTTTGCTCAGTATGCCTGGCTAAAAGTAGTGTAAAGGATAAAATATGTCAACATTCCAACTGTTTATCAGAAAAGCCAAGACTGCTAGTCCATGTTTCTGAAGATATAACAAGGCATTACCGTGGTCTGTAGGGTTAAACAACACATTGTTAGTAAGTATAAATAAATCACTATTTACCAGCTATACTAATTAAACTTCTCCAAATCTTTCTTTCAACTAGTGTGTTCTGAAAATTAATAAGAGATTTTGTTCCAAAAGGTTGGTTGCTATGTAGCAGCAGACAATATGGTTATGTGAAACTGTTTTGGATTGCAGATGGGAAATGCCTCCGCAGAAATGGGCCTGGATCATTATTTTCTCTGTCTCATGCACTGTTCTTTTAAATGTTTTGAGCCTTGATAAGCTGCATTTTATGTCATGACTCAGTACCTACTTACAAATACATAAGGAAAGCCCCAACATATAAATAGCCCATTTTTATAAGAAAAAGCTAAACAAACTAAAAATAATAAAAACTTGAACCCATCAGAAAACTAAAGTTGCATGGCACAGGAGCAGAGATGTGATAGCTTTCTCACCCATCATCAGAGTCACAACCAACAGGCCTATAACAAAAGACAAGTTCACAAGAGGAAATCATAACAAAATTGTGTCATCAAAGTTTTATGTGTGGGCCTGATTTACCAGTTTCAACATCTACAGGCCCACATGACAGAAAAACACAATTAAATTCAAGAAGGGAGTAGGGGAAGTGGGCTCAGTAAGTTCCCACCTACCGGGCACAATGTAGGGATGTATGGCACACGTCCTGGGTGAAGGATACAACTACAACTTGAAGAAACACAAATAATGTAACCTAATCTTAAGTAGCCTCATACTAATCCAGAATGAAAAAGAAAATGTTTTATGGGACATAGATGCTTTAAATGAAGACCCAGAGTCCCAGGGAAAACTGTCCATGCTAATGCTTAGATTTGATGAAGAATAGACAGCCAGGTAGAAATGTGATTGAACAAAAAGAGTATGATGTAGGAGAAGCCCAGTAGGACCAGTCTGTTCAGCCTCTGCTTGGCCTCCCTGTGTAGCATTCCTTTCTCTCAGGCTTGGGGCAGGACTCCCCTGGAGTGAATCTTCAAGGGAGAAGGGAAACCTGTATGGGTTTTATGGTATGCTTTAGAGAAGAGGAATTCTAGTTTTAATGACCTGCCTTGGGGAAGAGAAATTCTGACTTCTATGATTTGCTTTGGAGATAAAAGAAGGATGGGAGACAGGAGGGTGGAAGAAGGTCACAAAGATCGTGCATCTGAAATTTGTCCAGTCTTCTTCAGTTCAAAGTATGCAGCACCCTGAGGTACCACACTTAGGGGTATCACGTTCTGAGCCCTGTCAAGGGCAAACCACTAACCACACATGAGAAGAGAAAGATAAATCAAGAGAGTGACATCTGAGATTCCCCTCCCCTCCCTGGAGCAGAAGTCACTGGAACTGTAACTAGTAACAGCACTTAAGTGTTAATTTTGATGAAAGCTAAGTATGGAAGCTAAGTATAGATGAATTTGAGAGTGAGTGACATGTGGAGACCATAGTTTTAGGAGGTGCCTAGACTTTTTGTTGGATTTACTTCCAGGAATCTCACCAGATTCACATAATAAAGATCTGAGAAACAGCCCATGGAGCCTTTGGCTGCGTGAGAGGAAGAATAATCATGGTGAAATGCTTTCAGAATGTTCTCCAAGCATAGGCCCACTCTCCGGGGGAAAACACTTCATCAGAGCCTTATCCCAGTTGGGAAATGGTAGCCCCTCACTCTAGCTGGTTCTCAGCTTCCTGTCTCACATAAAGAGAAGTAGGAGAAGCAATGCCACAGCAAAAACACTTGGAAAGGCACAACCAAGAATCACTAAGACTAAGATTTGATCATAAAACTCTAGATTACTACTCCCCACCACCTTATGGTCACTACCACAATAAGGTTCCAGTATAATGACCATGAATTACTATTTAAAAAAAAAAGAAAGAAACAGAACAAAACAAAATAAAACCCTGTAAGACTCATACTCGCTCTGGGGAAAGTACTAAGGAAAGTACAAAGCCAAGAAAGGTGACAAACCAAGGACAACAAACAAACAAATTTAAAGCCCCTCACACCCAAAACTATAGCAAACATTAAATACAGCCTGCTCCTAAACAGATTACTATAAATTCTTTCACCCCAGGATTATTTATTTCATTTATTGTCTGATACAACATGGCTGGTCTTACACCAAAGATTTGAAGGCATGCCAAGATAAAATACAATTTAAGGAGAAAAAGCCTGCATCAGGCTAGATTTAGATGTGGCACAGATAATGAAATTATCAGAGAGGGAATTTTAAATAACTAGGTTTAAGATGTTAAAGGTTTTCATGGAAAAAATACACAACATCCAAGAAAGAATAAAGAATCAAAAGAGGAAGTTGGAAATTAAAAAATACTATATCTGAAAGAAAAAAATAGCTTCGATGGGCTTATTAGTAGACTGGACATGGGTGAGAAATGAATTATTGAAACTTAGTGAACTTGGAGACAGGTCACTGGAAATGTCCTAAACTTAAATATAAAAAGAAAAAGTATTTTTTTAAAAAAAAGACAGACTTCAAAAGGTGTGACATATGTGTCATCGGAATACAAAAATAGTGATAAAATTAAGCACAAGAACTTTTCAAATATTGATGACAGATACCAAAACAGAGATTTAAGAAGGTTGGATAACACCCAGATAAATGCTAAACATTGATGCCTGGATTTATCATATTCAGATTGCAGAAAATTGAAAACAAAGAGAAACTCTTATTAGACAACAAAGAGAACAAATGTTTTCAGTATACAGGAATAAGTATAATAATTATTAATATATTACACTTCTCTTCAGAAACCATATAACTAAAAAGAGAGTGGAGTGAAATGTTTTAAGTATTATAAAACAAATAACAACCCCCCAAACTAATATAACACCCCCCAAAACTATATTCAGTGAAATTATACTACAAAAGAGAAGTAAACATTTTCTCAGACAATTTTTTTAAAAAGGAAGGAATTCATTGCTAGAAGAACTTCCCTGCATGAAATTTTAAAAGTTCTTTGGGATAAAGGGAAATAACACAGGTCAGAAACTTAGAACTGTATAAAGAGGAAGAGTACCTGGGAAGGAATAAATGTAGGTGAAAATGAAGTTGTTTATTTTCTTTATTCTTAATTGATCTAAATGATAATGTGTGTCAAAAGTGAACATAGTAACAACGTATGGGGTGATTACAGCATGTGGATAAGTGAAATGAATGACAGCAATATCTCAAGAGGTAGGAGGTGAGAACTGGGAACACTCCTTACAAGGAGCCTGAACTGCATGTGAAGTGGTATAATGTCGTTTGAGGGTGGGCTTAGATTTGTTAAAAAAAAAAAATCTAAGAACAGCTATTAGTTGTTTTTTTTTTTTAAAGATACAATTGATAGGCTAAGAGAAAAGAAAATGGAATTATGAAATGCTCAAATAAACCAGGATAGCAGACAAAAACGGGGTAGGGAGGAGGAACAAATCACATAAGCAGAAAATAAAAAAGTTACAACCTTAGTAGGCAGTAACTCAATCATTTTCTTGAAGCCAAATTTTCACTACTGAAATTTAGTGATTCTAAAAGCACCAGTTAAAAGTCAGAGTTTGCCAGCATGGCTAACAAACAAGACCCACTGCATGTCATCTATCAGGAACTCAATTTAATATAAAGACACAGGTAAATTAAAAGTAAATGGGAGAGAGCGAGCTGGTACCATACTAACACTGATTGAGAACAAAAGCTGCATTGCTATAACAATTTAATAGAATGTGGATTTCAGGGTAAGAAAAATTATATAACGATAAAGGTATATTTTCTAAGAAAACAGAACAATTTTAAACATGCATGCACTTTGACAACAGAGTATCAAAATATGTAAAGCAAAAGCTGATAGAATTGGAAGGAGAAATAGTATCTACAGGAAGTATCCAAGTCCAGTATCTACGGGAAGAGTTGAACACTCCTCCTTCCGGTAATTGGTAGAACTAGTAGACAGAATATCAGTTAGTACAGAGAGTACCAAAAGATGTATGCACATTTGAAGAAAGGAAAAAAACTATATTAAAATTTTAACCCAAGTTACATTTGCCTTCTGCATTGACAAGAGATACATGATACAATATACAAGTTAACCAATGGTATATATCGAGTATGAAAATTTTAATGGCTTTATACCATTTTTAATGTGTGTATACATTTTTTGGCACCCTTTTTATAGTTTTAATGAACAGCAATATTAATTAACTTGATTTAATTGATGTTATAAAATACCCTATCCAACAATAGTAGAAAATTCTTCTGAAATACACCTGGAACGTTCACCGAGATAAATCACGTGATGCCTCTTAAAAAAATACACTTTTATTAACGTAAAAGAAGAGAAATCATGCAAAGCATATTCTCAGGCCACAGGAAAATTGAAATACATGTCAGTAGCAGAAAGAGTTTGAAACTTCCCAAACATTTGGTTATTAGAAAACACTCTTCTTAACCATAAGTTGTAATCGATGATAATACAACAAAGATTGTGGGATGCAGATAAACCCATTCTTACAGAAAAAATTTTATTGAAAAGCCTTATGAAAAGAAAAATCTCTAAAATGTAATAACCTATGCCTGTATCTTAAGACACCAGAAAAAAAAAAAAGACACCAGAAAAGATGAGCAATTTAAGTGTAAACAAGCAGACAAAAATAAATGATAAAAATTAGAGCAGAAAAAAATGGAGTGAAAAACAGAAATTCAGTAAAACCCAAAGGTGGTTCTTTTAAAAGATCAGCCAAATTGATAAAATTCTAGCCTGCCTAACCAAGAAATAGAGAACACGCTGGTTATCAATATCAGGAATAAAATAGAGGTCATTACCACTGGTTTGTAAACATAAAAAAGATAATAAGAGTGCTACGAACAACAAGTTTTGCCTATAAATTTGATAACTTAGACAAACGGACCATCCCTTGAAAGGCATAAACTCGCACAAGGAATAATGGATAATCTGAATAGATCTATATCTTAAAGAAATTGACCTATTATTGACCTTCCATAAAAGAAAGCACCAGTGCCGGGTATTTTCACTTGGTAACAATGTAGAGAAAAACAAAAATTAGGTTAAAGTACAGTTACGCTGAGCAGTGAGGAAATCCTTTGGTGCTCTTTTTTCTGAGTAGCTCCTTTCCCTTCTGACACTATTCCACATATTAACCTGATGTTTTTATTTGAAAAAAAATCCTCTAGTTTTGCCAGCTCCCCTTTCCTCTTAGCTCAAAACTTGATGATAGACCTATAGTCACTGTATATTCTAGAAAACACACCTTCCCAATGGTGTCCATAGGTTTATCTCTTGACAGGAACTGTTGGACAGTAAAGGAATTTAAAGTAGCTCATGCTTCCAGCTTATGTCAAAACTTGCAAGACTATATGTAAAGGGTTTAAACTAGAATTTTTGAGTAATTTTTAAGCAGAATAAAGGGGTATTTCTCTTGTACTGACAGCACAGTCAGAAAAGAAATTTAGGGCAGCAGGGGGCAACCAATTAAAAGTTGAAGGTAATGTATAATGAATCCACGAAAATATAGAATCTCTTTATGAATTAAGAAACTGTGCTCTGGATATTATAAATTATAATTTTATATTTCAGTCAAACAGCATAGAATCATGAAAAACACCTCAAGATCTGCCAAATATTATGCTGAACCTGCTTAGGAAAGTAACAATAATTGATAATACATTTTTCTATATATTATAATTCAGGAAAAAAAATTTAGAATATTTTAAGTTGAAACTAATTTTTAAGCATGACCAAGGTTTTGAAGTTATTTCTCTCTAGTTAATGATAATCTTCCGATCAGAACACAGCCATGTCCATTTCAGTTCTCAGGGAAGCATTTCATGTTTACCATATGGGAAGGAGTGCAAATTGGTTCACAATGGACAATAGAAATGCGTAAGCACAAAATACCTACTTGTATGGAGTTCGGAAAATATTTTGACTATTCAGAAATACATTTGGATTCTCTTTTTCATAAATCACTTCAGCTTGCACTTCACCTGGAAGGGCCGACAACTTAAATCACAGAGAAATGAAACTTGATAAAGACTTTTGAATGCCTAAAATTTGAGGTTGAAAATTCAAATGGAATTCAATTTTATCATTGCTTCTTTGAAATTATACTTGATCGTATATCTACTTTGAATGGGGGCATTTTCCCCCTCCACCATTGTATGCCTTTTCCTCGTCAGTTTGTTGATTCTGAGCTGTATTATGTGCATTTCCTGGGTTACGTGTCACTTGACCACTTTCATCTAAATGGAAAACACAAGAATTTAATTTTATTCTCTTCTATTTGAGTCCCTAAATTAATTTTTTAAATTTTTACTAAAGTGCTGTAAAATATAGTCATTATAATGAACAAAGTAAAATAATGCTCCAGCAGTACTCATGAAAAGGCCAATTCAATAATGTATTATTGAAAAGGACCTCTCAACCGGAAGGATCCATCCATCCTGAGTCCTCTCTAATATATAGGTGGGAACAGTAATGAGGTCTTGATTTAATAACTGCCACTCCACAGAGATGAAAATATATACAGCAAATACGGTACTTCAAAGGACAGCTCTGTGGAGGATTAACGAACATCAATACGTTATCACTGCAAAGATTTGAGTCAACTAATGACTCAATATATCAGAAATAAATAAGCTCATTTTCATGTAAGATTCTAAAGAAAGTAGACTATTTTAAGTATTCTATATCAAAGAATTTCCAAACATATCTTCTCACCATATATATCTCATGATTCATTGCCCGACTTGCTTTCAGAAGATTAACTCCTCACGGTAAAATTCTTAATCTATTGTCAGGTAAACAAAATTAATAACTTCTTTCAAAGTCACTTTTATGACTTTCCACAATAAAATAAACATTTAGATTTTCAAAATCATCTTTGTGAAATCTACTGAAATCAATTTCACTTGACCCCAGCGACCCTAGAACTTTCTTCACCAGATGCACACAGCTTTAGCTGATGAGATGTGCTTTACAAAGTGCACATCTAACAGAAAACAATGAAGTGGTTTTGTTGTTTCTTTTATATTCTCCATTGGATGGATACATCTTTTGGAAGAAATATCTTCTATATGGCTACATCTTTATAATACAGGTTAGGTATCTAGTTAAGCAACATTGGAGTGAGACATTTCAGCTCCTTGACCTACTTAAGGTTAACATTGCTTTAGTTTTGCCTTTAATTTTTCCCTGAGCAATATTATAAAAGGTTCTTTAACAACTTCATGAGATAAAGTAAAATGAATACTTAAACCAAATTCTCAAAGCTCTTCTATTTAGGGATTTGGTTCAAACCCAAGATATTTGGGTGAATTTTCTAGGATAATTTAGGAAATATCTCTATGACAGGGTATAAGCTTTTAAGATTTGTCCTACAAATGATTTTAAAGAGGTAAACCTTGTTGGCTTTTGTTCTACTAAATAATAGCTTTTTATTAAAGTTTTTACTTATCATTATTTTATGGAGAGCCCTAAATTCTTATATAACTTTAGATCTGTTTGTATATTGCAACAGAATTCACAATGCATTATGTCAGTCACCTTGAACGATTTTTTTCTCAAAAAGGCTTTGGATGAATGTATGTTGTAAATAGTACTTAGGCATTGGGGATTAGACCTTGCCTTTCCCAGAGTTTTTCATGCTGATCAGTTGAACACAAGTTCTGTAATTTCAGTCATCTCTTTTGTTTTCAAACACAAGTTCAAGAAACTTACCTATAATTAATTGGAATTTTCTTTTTAGAACATTAATGTCAACCATAATTTATTCATCTGACAACTCATTTTGTCTGTATGGTTAGCCTATAGACCACTTTATTGAAATACTGCATGATACACGATTTTTGCTTAGTTGATCACTCCCTGAGGACCCTTTGTGATCCTTCCATGTTGGAGACCAGTCTTCCCACACAACTATTCTCTCATGGTATTTTTATAATTGAGGACATTTAATAGGTCCCCATCAGGTTTATTCTTCATTAGATTAATAACAAACACCTAGCTTTTGATGAATGGCTTTACTTTTCTACTTAAGCATAATATAAAGATATTAGTAAGTAGGGAGACAAGATTCAATGCTTTGCTTTTATTATAATTTTAACACGTTTTTATCTTTTAAGTTTCTTTAAAACAAGTCTAAATTGTACATTCCATTTTGAGGTTTCTGACTACCAAGGATAAGAAAACCATTTTAAGTGCTAGAGGTTAGTAAAATTGTTATGAATTCTTAATGGCTTTTTTCATATTCTCTGAAAGATGTGATAGTATAAATATGCATGATGCACTCAGCTTCTAACTCTCCTTTGTTTTATTTTATAAGAGTTTCCTGCTGGCTCTGTCAATGTCGATGTCTACTGTGATGGAATCGTTCAGGCCACAACCAAGGTTAAATACTATCCAAGAGCAAAGGCAGTGGAATGCCAATTTAGAGCGGCAGATGCAGGAGAGAGTTTATGCCAGGTAAGCTGGTCTTTCTGTGAAGTTAATCATAATGAGCTAATGAAGGATAAGAGGATTCATGGTTTGTTATAAAATCTGGATGATGATTGAATAAAAATGAATTACCAATCAACAGGAAGGGAAGGAGCCAACTTCTGTGATGCAAAGATGTAGACACATTACTTGCTTAGGTCAAGTCATTGTAGATAATGACAATGGGAGACAGCTTATTCTTTACAACACAGCCATTGTGATGGGCTCATTTTAAAGCTGTTACAGAAGAAAAAGAGAGGATTCAGAGAGAACTTTTAAGAAATTAATTTCCTCCCTATACAGATATGGAAAACACAAAATAAAATGAAAGTCAGATATTCTTTCTGATGCTTTGACGTAAAGAAACAATCCAAAATGTCACCCAAAAAGGAACATGTCCAAATCTAGAAATTGTCATTTTCAAGTTCAGTGTGTGTTTTTCTTAGATTCATTTATTTCTGTTATCTGACTGGGAAAATTATTTTTTTCTGTTAGCGATGTTTATTATGAACACCAAAAAGGCTAGAATTTCCTAGAAAGTATGTGAAGAGGTATTCAAGCCCAAGGTTGTTTCTCTGTTGTGACAGAGTATTATTCAGCTAGGATGACTTGGTGAGGGATTTCTAGTCTTCTCAAAGGATCCTTGTTTGGAATTTTTTCCTTTGACTACCCAGCTATCCTATCGTGGATTTAGAATGTAATGATTACATTTTGATTAATCTGAAGCCATTAGTCTAATGTATTTTTTTTATTACCTGACTCACTTTCAATACAGAGAAAGATTACTTAATGTAGAATTTTTATTCTTTATGTGCTTATTCCATCAAGTTTTCAAATTGAAATAAATGTCGCTTCTTTTTATAGTTATTTGATAATTAGATGTATAACCTTGCCTAATTGCCTTACCTTGGGAGCGGGGGGCAGAGGGAGGGTCGAAGGGAGTAGAAATGGAGAAAGAGATTGTTGCATTGAACTGTGTGATCTTCAAGTTTACCATAAACTGCCTTATAAGGTTTGCAATGAAACTATCAATGATACTGTGTTTGACAAGTTGTCGTGAAGCCTTATATGTTTAAACTAGTTTGGAATTGGAGGCTTTGTTATTTATTTTGTGTGTCACATTTTTCTATTAGAGTTCTCTTTTATGAATGACATGTTTTAGAACAAAGGAAAAGGTAAAAATGTCTTGGAAAAGGACAGGGAGGAAAATACCATTTGTCAAACTGGGGAATCTGAGGACATTTGACAAAATGTCTATATTGCATTGTAAAGCAAGTACAAAAGTAATAGCTTTAAAAACACATTGTTTCATTTTCTGGTGACAAGTCTACCTTATCTTCTACCCAAAAATTCTATTCATAACAAAAAGATTCATAAAGGCAACATATTGTATAATCAATGTTCCACCAGTACTGAAGTAGAGTAGTCCCCAAATACATTTTTGAGTTGTGCAGACATGTATGTGGAGGGTTCTTCTTATATTTGAAAATTAAATATAATTTATGACTCCTGGACAATTTTTCACAATGCTATGAATGCAAGTCATGGTTTTCTCTACAGCTTCATGTGCATAAAAACTATTTTTGCATAGTTTTTAGATAACTAGAAAATTCTATTTCCTCTTTACCCACAATGTCTGAAATAAGAGACAAAAATGGTTTATGGCTACATATTAGGATTTCTCCCCTACCAACCTTTGGTAGGGCCTAGCAAAGAGAAAAATGTTGTGAAGTCACAGCTTGATTCAAATTTTACCATCAGAAAAGAACCTAAGGCATGAATATGGAATGGTAGAATTATTCTAACTTGGTAATAGTCATTTGGGGGGGGGGGCGGCAAGGAGAGATATTAACAGATGAAGCTTAATTCATAATTCATATAATTTAAGATAGGTCTGTCAGGGCCTGGGACTGGCCAAGACTCAGGCCTGGCTTAGGTGGGTTCCAGACACAGACCGCTAAGCTACTTGCTCAGGAACAGTTTCTCTTAGGTGCCTGAGGGCTATCTCCTTTAGCTGGAGAGAGAGAGAGAGAGAGTCTTAGAGAGAGTGAAGCAGTCTTCTTAGCATAGACAGATATTAGCCTTTAGCAGAGCTTGGTAATCTTCGGCAGAGAGACGCCGTGCTGGCATTCTGCAGGCAGGAGAGGAGACAGAGTCAGAGTAAGAGAGTCCGTGATAGAGAGTGCATGCTCCTGACTGCCTTCTCCTCCAGCCTAATAGCAGGCTGATCTCGTGCTTCCCAACACCAGGGGTATAGAGACTGCCAATTCACAACTGCTCTCATCTTGCAAGCTCTCATGCTTGTTAGGAGAGCTAAATCTCTCCCCATGCCCTTTCCACCAAGGTGTTCCATTATTGAGCTACAGGTATTTCTTATAACTCTCACTCCTCCTAGCCATAAGCTATACAGGCTGCTATATAGCTCTAGAGGTTTTGCTACTGTCATAGGAGAACTGGAAGTGTTTTGTAGGATTGTAACAAAAAAATGGTGAGACTGGGACCTCAGACCAGACTAAGCCACACTGTAACAGGGAGGACTGCAGTTAGTGGTTTTCCCTAGAATCGTAGACCAAGTATGACATGGAGTTCATCTAAACCTGCTAGCATCTGGACCACACAAAGAATCTATACATTCATAGAGGTGGTGAGAGGCAGACTCCATCCTCCATGAGGAAGCAGCCGCAGAAGCATTTCCCCGGCGTGTTTTAGTTTTGTTTGGCTAACAAACAAGGCGGCCACACTGTATTCTTGGAGGCTTTTGGCTTTTCCTTATGATATTTGGCTTTGCTCCCACATAGATTACATAGTTAAATAACTGTGTAAAAATCTGTGCCTTTCCTTTCCGATATAGAACATTACAGTCATTGTTTCTTTTGTGTGCACCTCTGTCACTTAATTAGAAAATCTAAATAGTTTGCCAGTGGTCCACTGAACATCTCCATTCAAAACACAGCGTACCCTGTAATTATATTCACCACAGTTACCATGTATTTGTAAGAACATATAACAGCAGAGTGGAATTTTTTTTATATTCCACCTACTTAGCTGAAATGGTATAGTGTGAGAACTATTTGCATTCTCCACTAAATTTTAATGGCAGATGTGATGTGATTTCAGTAATCCAAAAAATTAGAAATAAAATCCTCCTCCTAATCATTTAAGAGCTATTGCACATATTCTACACGAACACTGTGTGAATTTGAGGAAAAAATTAGTAATGAGAACTCTGTGGGTCTTATTTTTCAGTAATCCTTAAGTTTGTAATCAGAGACTTTCTACCATCATTTAAAAGATAATTGGGCACAAAGCAAAATGTGAATTTAAGAAAATAAGTGATAGCGAGAAATCTGGTTTTCTTATTTTACTTTTTAATTATTTCAATTAAGTTTTATAACACCTTACCTGAACCAGCTTAATTATCTAACTTCTTCCTAAATCATTTCATCTCTGGGGGATAAATACTAAATTCCAGTACATACCCTCAGAAAGGTGCAATTTGCAGAGCATTAGTTAAAAAGTGTCTATAAGAGATGAAAGAAATCCAAAATCTAATTTGGGATTATAATTAGAATTCAAGCAGTAGCATTAGAAATACTAGTATCTCCTACTTAGCTAAGATAATTAAAACCCTTGAGATTTTCATCTGATTTACAAAAGTAACTTGGGGCAACAAATTAAATTTGGATAGGAACAACTACATACCATATAGAAACAAAATTGCTAAAACAATATAGCAATTATCAAAATATTAGGATCCCACTCATATGGTAACAAATAATTCTTCCTAGTTACACTTATTAGTTAAAAAATTCTTCTGTGTACAAATAGTTATTATTTTGTGTATTTTACTTTATACATATTGAAGTATTATTTCATCTTCATGTTACATTACTTCATTTCTGTTTTTATTACTCTATTGTATACTTTATTTAATCTTTGGTTTGCTACCTGAAAATATTAATATTTAATATAATATGAAGCCAGATGGGGGCAGGGTGAAAGAAGGTCAGGACTTTGCAAACTCTCTTGGTGAGGAATTTCCCAGCATGCTTCTCTCTGTTAATATTTTCCTTAAAGGTAAACCTCACTGAGTTAAAGCGTAACTGTTAGCAGTTGTATCCGTTAAGAATTTTTCAGGAGGTTACTCCTACTGAGAGATACTGGGAACTCTCTGGGCTTTTAGAATTTTTTTAAGGTTCTGTCTCCCTCAAAAGGTTGATAGAAACCTTCCTTCCTCTTTTCATCAGCTCCTATTGATAAGAAATTCAAAGGCATATAGTCTCTAAGCTTCACATACAGCAGTGTTACTAAGACACTCCCTTGCTACATTTCCAGTAGCTCATTGGATATGAAGATTCAAATCCCACTGGATGCCATCCAGGCTGCAGGGTCCCAGATCTTTTGCAGAATCAGCCGCTACTATGTCATCCCTTCCAAGTCTTCTTAACTGTGTGATTCCTAGGTTCTGCCCTCTCTTTCCTTCACCCTCCTGGGCTCTGTAGGGCATGGGCCTTGTACTTCTCATCTTGGCATGCTCAGCACCTCTTAGATAGTTAGCTCGTGCTACATGGGATACAGCTTATAATTACTGCTTTCAAAAGTAGAGAAAGCTTAGGGGATAGGCCTTTTTCCTAGTGCTATTTGAATAAGTAAGCAAAAAACAGTAGGATAGAATTATAAAAAAAAGAAAATTGCCCTCTTAAAATACATTGTTACTTATTTTATGAAATTGAATAAATGAAGCCGATGCTTAAGAAATTGATGAATTCTTAGAAGTACAAGATACTAGAAAAATCAAAAATTTGTGCTGTTAACTTTTCATGTTCTACCTCAGTGTGGACTGTGTTAATAAACTTCATTACTGACTTTTAACAGCCATATGATTCCAGTTTTACCTTTATTTTGGTTATTAAGGGAAAATGTGCTATTCAAAAATGCCTGAGCTCTTGCCACTCTTTCAAAAGGCTGCATACTATCTTTCCTTTTCT